GCCGCCTGCCTGCGTCGGGGCCAGACCCTGGGCCCGCTGCCCCGTTCGGTGAGCCGTAAACTCTGCATGGCCTCCGCTTGGGTCTGTCAAGCCTCTGCCCCGTGACCGGCTTTCTCTAGTCGACCTCGGCCTGGGTGGAGCAGGCCTGCCCGCCGGTCCCTTCTGTACAGCCGGTTTTCAGGGCCTGCCGCTCCCCCGCGTGTCTTCGACGCCGTAGGCAGGTACAGTCGCTTTTGTAGGCGCCTTGCTTTTCGTTTCTGCCTGCGGCGGGGCCCGTTCCCGGCGGCAGTATAGTACAGTTTCTCCCTGCCACAGGCTCGTGGCTGCATGATGCTCGACTTCGTCAGCACACGCTAATTAAGAATAATTGCGATGATCACCGGTGTTGTGCTCGTTGTTCCCATTCGCTGTTACACAAAAACTCATTCTTGGAAATGCTGTATCTGTAGCTTCACCAGTGCGCTCGGGCTTTTTTGTGGTCTGTCCCCATGATACGTAGCAGATCTCTCGCAAGCATAACCATTCTGCTTTCGTGTTTCGCGACTCATGGCCTGGTCAGTTTACCCTCTCTCATTCAAGCTCGCCACACTGCCCAAATCAGGCCCGCATGTGTGGAATCTGTGAGCCCAGCATGCGGCTACATGCATGATTACGATCAGACCACTAATGCCATTTTCTCTAAGTGCCATGGGCTTCTTACATTCAGAGTACATCGATTAGATCAGTGCATGCCGCTCGCAGTAGGAACCGGTGCACGCGTAAACGAAAATGCAGGTGGAGAGACACCAGAACGAGTCAAAAACCAAGATGCACGCCGAATGGCAGAGGCAGGTGAAGGAGAGAACTCTGCAGCCTGCATGTCCCTGCAAGGCGTTGCTTCAGGTAGTGGCCTTTGTGTGAGGAGCGAGGTGACGTCCTGGGACCTTCTGCGATGCCGCAGATGATGTCCCTTCCGCACGAAGCTTAGATTCGACCCTCCTTTTTAGCGAACTTGTCTTACCATGCCTTGTTGGAGAGGCCATCGCAAACCGTTCAGGCACACCGCAAAGTTCGGGTCGCGCCTGTGTGACACTATTCATGGCCTTGCTGCAGCTGGCAGGCGCCTGTTGCTGCGGCTCCCGTTTCCATGCAGTACCCACCCGCTTGCTTCTCAGCGCGGTAGCGTTGAAGTTGGCTGGCCTTGACAAGAGCTACAGCCGTGTCTCCCCGTACATAAGATGAGCTTCGCAGAGCGATAGGGTGACCGCCCAGAAGCCATAACCCACCGATGGTATCAAGAAGAGCTTATGCATCACGAGAGGTCCAGTTCTGTCCTGTGCAGGGTCTCAAGCATTACACAGAATTAATTCCATATTTTACAGGCGGTTCAGATTGTGTCTAAATCGAGCCGCCCACCAAATGCCCACGTGGCTGCTTTTTCTGTAGCTCCAAGAAAGACAGGGCTTGGCAGCCGGATACAAGATTTCTAACTCATCCGCTTAAATTTGCAGCTCCTTCCTTCATCTCGGGGTCTTCCAACTCCTAAAACAGCCACAACTTGAAGCCCCAAGCAAACCCGAGCCTTTCTTCTGCAAGCGCTCAAACAGAAGTCAAGCACTAACTTACTAGTTGCAGTGAAGCACGTGTCAAAGAAAGCGCTTGCAGCTAGATAGCTGGAATATTCTGCAGAACGATAAGGTGACCGCCCGGAAGCGATAACTCCATGCAAGGGCTTGGCAGGCCCTGAACCCCAAACCCTAACCCCTAAAACCCCTAAAACTAAAACCCCTAAACCCTAACCCCTAAACGGCCCTAAACCCTAACTCTTGGGGCTCTCAAAGATGCCCAGGCCAGTATGGCCACTCCAGTGCAAAGCTCATTGAGCGCAGCCCTCAGTCGCTCCCACGGACCCACGGACCCAAGCTTCTCACGCTCCTTTTTATGTATCCGACTGACTGGCTTACGAAGCCAATCTGGCAGTTTACAACTCTCCTCGCGGAGAGCGATATGCTGGGGGATTTCTTGGACGGGAAGACCTCCGCGCGCTTTGCAATCATGTCGCAGTTTTCGCGCAGGTGTCTCGTCGCGTCAGCTGGTCACTCTACCACCGAAGGCCATGTCAAGTCAAATCTAGAGTCTAGAGTTCAGGGCATTTGATTTTGCAACGAGAGAGTCGGTACAGGAGCTTCACTACATTTCGGTCGGTAGGTCGAGATAAGAAATGTCAGAGAGGGACCTTTGACCTTTGTGCCTAGCATGAGTAGCCGTCGCAGAAAGTGCTCTGCTTCTCTGTGATTCTCGTGACCAGGTAGTGGCCCGTCAGGCCTATGGCTGATGCTGCTGACGCTGCCGGCGGAACCCGCATGGCTTCTCTCGCTTTTCCAGGCTCTTGCAGCTGAAAGCCGTGCTACTGTGGATGTCTCAAAGACTGCTGTCCCTGACAGTCTGGCTGGAGACCGTGGATGCCATGTCCACTTTGGTGTCACCTGTGAAGCGGAGTGCAATCAATCCAGCGCTGCAGATTGAAACACGAGTCCCAAGTCACGACAATAGCCGGCAGATCTTGCAACGCTTCAGGAAGCAAAGGGCAAAATGTGGGATCTTGACTTCGATCTGAGACCTCATTGCCGAACCCACATTCTGCCAACTATGGTTGTGTTATCATCGCCAATGACTTCGAGCAGAGCAGCAGCTCCCTTCAGACCGTGATGAGCACTACCCTGCAGGGCCCTGCAGCCTAGGGCCTGCAGTATTGAACATCTTCTATGTAAGTAGGCGCATATGGCATAGGGCATCTTCAAGATATGGTCAGAGGGGCGACCAGAAAGGAGGACTGCTGGAAATTGCTCGCTTGCATCTTCACCATCGGCGATGCAAGAAAGTGCTTTCCCGCGCTCAGACTCCGAGCTGACGCTCTTTTTCGCCGTGCGCGCGTGCGGATTCTCAGCACTTTCCGCACCTTATGGCTCAAGGCCAAGGCGGCCAAGGCGGCCAATGCCCAGGCCCAAGGCCCAAAGAGGGAATGGATGGCAACAGCCCAGGTGAGCGTGCGGGCCCTTTCCGGTGAAGTCATCCTCGCCAAGACACTTCCTTCGAACACACTCTGCAATGAGTTGCGGCAGCTTGTAGCTGCTTCGCGTCAGCAGACCGCGGAAACAGTAACTCGGCAGGGAGACAGTTTCTGGACGTAGCCATGCATCATGGGTCATACCGACAATACCTTTCGAAGTTATGCTTGAGGTGTAAGGAACTTGCCTACAAAGCAGATGCTGCTCATACAAAATGCAATGCTGGCTCGTGGTTCATGTCAGCATACGCGAAATGAGGTTCAGCTGCTGCTCAATGGGGAGCATCTTGCCTGAGTGTGGGACATCTTGCTTAGTTGTTGCGTGCATTGATGTAGGGCATTGGTACCATCACTTTCAGGTTGCTGGTCCGTGACAGTCTCACTATCGAGGGCGCGGTGGTTGAACATGGCCAGTGCACAGACGGAGCTTTGGAATTCACTGCAGTGTTGGAGCCGAAGAAGAGATTTCCACTGGAAAGGTGCGACAGAGCTCCAGGACTTTACGTCAGTGAAGTAAACAACCACCGTGTGACCCACTGGGACTTCGAGGGAGCAGGCGGAGCAGGCGGAGCAGGCGGAGCAGGTGGAAGGATTGTGGTCGGGGGATTTGGGCGGGGCTCCGGGCCGGGTCAACTCGCTGGGCCTAAGGGTCTCTGCTTCGACTCCCATGGAGTTCTCTATGTTGCAGAAGCCGGAAACCGTCGTGTCACCCGTTGGTGCCCCAGAGAAGGGGGAGCAGCAGGCGGCGGCCAAACCGTCATTGGCGAGGGCCGCGAGGGCCGCGGGGGCCGCGGGGGCCGCGAGGTGGAGGAGCCTGGTGGCATCTGTCTGGGCAACGGGGGGGAGATCTACGTCGCAGATGTTCGTGGGCATGCTGTTGGCTGCTGGAGTCAGGAATTTCAGGAGGCCTGCATTGTAGCTGGTGGTCGTGGCCCGGGAGATGGCTTGGATCAGTTGGACCGCCCGGTGGATGTGGCCGTCGACTCCAAGGGTTTCTTGGCTTCGGCCGTTTCTCTTTGCTTCGCGAGGGGTGAAGAGAACCTAAAGATTGACGAAGACACGAAGACTGGGGAATTACGGGGGATCGAAATGAGACAGCGACGTACTTGTAGCAACCACACGGGAGTGTTTGATTTCAGGGGCGATGAGGGTTAAACTGTCAGACATCTGTGAAGCTCTTCAATGTCAACTGAAGCAATGGAGGTGATTCGCCTCCGGTATCGGCCTTCAACTCAGCAAAACAACAAGCAGCACGGCACACTGCCGTCCATGCAGAGTTATGTAAACCTAGCTTGAGCACTCTGCTACATTCCCGCGCCCGTCGGTCCAGTCGCGCCCCGGACAGGAACTAGTTACAGTAACTAGTTGGGTTCCTGCGCCCAAGATAGGGAAAGACCTGGAAAGTCAGCCCGCGCGAGCTCGCCGTGTTTTGTCAGACCTTAGCAGCAAGGTTTCCTGTACGTGGCAGAGTTTGGCAACGACAGGGTGACGCGTTGGAAGGACAAGACATGTGAAGTCATTGCGGGTGGGAGGGGCTCTGGCGATGCACTGGAGCAGCTGGCCTCGCCGACTGCGATCTGCCTCCAAGAATCCAGAGATGGCGTCAGCGTCTTGGTGGCAGAGGCAGGGAACAATCGCGTGAGCCGTTGGACACCTGGGATGACGCGCTGTGAAATCGTTGTCGGAGGGGTAGGCTCACTACCAGAGCTTGAAACCCCAAGTGGCCTTTGCTATGATGCTGCGGACGGTAGCATCTATGTCGCAGACACCCGGCACAACGTCTTCTCTTGAAAGTTTTTCAGCCCCGAGCAAAGATGCCCAAATAAGCTCCGCTGTGTAAGGAAGCTGGCAGCAACCGAGTGACCCGCTGGATGCCTGGAGCGCTGTTAGATGTGCGCTGGGAGAGCTTTATATTGAAACACTCTAAGTGCTTCTCCAGTTGCGCAGGAGCAACTTGCGGGACGGTTATCGCCGGTGGACAGGGACGAGGCAGTGGTCTCAATCAACTGAATGGCCCCTCCATGATGGTCCTGGTAGCGAGGAAGAAAGAATTATCTCAATATGACAAGAACCGAAATCATTCTTCAATTCTATTATACATATATATATATATAGATGATATTTTCTCAGATATGAGAAATTTATCATCACAAAGATTTGACATTTAACGAATATATATATATATATCTAAATCATCAGCTCTCTTTATAAATATATATATATACTCTCTTTATAAACACATATATATATATATATATTTACCGTGATGATTATGTCGTTAATAACAACAAAGACCGGACTTCCTTATACTCGACTAATTTCGCTGAGGCCTCGCTATCGACGAGCGATATATATATACACATATATATATAAATATATATATTTAGTATCATATTCGAATAAATAGATTTCTATTGATTTATCGATATTTTATTAGATTCTTATGTATTTATTTATTGTGATTTCAATATAATTTGAGATATCTTGGGGAATTGGAATTTAGAGTATTGAATCTTGATATAAATACGAGATTAAAACAATTTTTTCGGAACAATAATTTATTTCAAGGACTTCTGCAGTTATTCTATTACATGGTAAGGGTAGAGATAATGAAGATGAAATTGAAAGATAAATATTAATGGGCATTAATTTGAATTATCTGAAGAAAATATTTTTATCGATTTTTGCGATTCAAGGAATAAAGCATACGAATCTTTATTCTCTAATAAACTGGTATTGTGTTGGTTATGTGCCCCTGGCCCCTGTAACCTCGTCTTTTGGCGCTCTTCTTCTTGAAAGCCTCTCGCGTGCCTATTTCGCGGTACAAAAATTTCGGAAATTTTAGTGCCGGGAGTATTTCTTTCCCGGTACTAAAAATTTCTGAAATTTTGGTAGCTTTGGGAAGCTTCGCGGTATTAAGATTTCAGAATTTTGGGTAGCTTTAGGTGGACATGCTCCCAGTAAGCTTTAGGTGGACATGCTCCCGGTAATAAAATTCAAGAAACTTTGGGCAGGCATGCTCGCGATCATAAAATTTCCGAAATTTTTGGGACATGCTCGCGGTAATAGATTTTCAGAAATTTTGGTACCACGATCTCCAGAGTCGTGCTTTCTGAATGCCTCTCTCTGTGTGCCTGTGTGGGTGTCTCTGTCTGTCTATCTATCTATCTGTCTATCTATCTATCTGGCTGGCTGGCTGGCTGCCTGCCTGCCTGCCTGCCTGCCTGCCTGCCTGTTTGCCTGCTTGCTTGGCTGGTTGGTTGGTTGTTTTGTCTGTCTGTCTGTGCATCTCTCTATCTTATATCTCTTTGTTTATATATCTCTTTATTGGTGCGTCTCTCTAGGTATTTTTCCATTGTATTTATTTATGTCTATATTTTTTAAAAATCTATCTATATATTCTTTATTTATTTATTTGGGCATCTATCTATATATGCATTTATAGCTCTTTTTATATATATCTCTTGAATATTTGATTGGCATTTATATATTTATTTTATCATCTATGAGACTATTTGAAGGCTTATTTGATTTATATTATTTTGCGCCTATATTATTATATTTTATTTCTTATAGATATATATAATATTTTTTTTATATCTCTCTAAAAATCGATATTTAATTTCATATTTAATTTGATATTTTCTTTATTTTATTCTAGATAAAGAATTATATATATATATATTAATCGATTAATTATTCGATTCGCTATAATTTCGTTCGTATCCCTCATAATTGGTCTGGACTTGTTCACTCCAACAGCAGAGGCGACCACTTCTTAGACTTGCTGTGCAAGCGAATCGCTTCCATTATAATGGACATGGGTAATTTCATGTCACAACCACTGTTGGTCTGATCAAATGACTCTATAACCTGCGTTTCAAATTTGACCTGTTTTTTGGCTGTATATTTGGAGTTCGTGGATCTGATGATGCTCCACTTGCCCCGGGACCAGAGCTTGAAGCGTGCTACTTCTGATTCAGCATCATTGCTGCGAGTACCGTCCTTGGCTCGGAAAGTTTTCTCGTGGTTCACCTGCTTCAGGGGAATCTTCAAAGACGTGCAAGCACTCTGTGTAGCTCTCCAGCCATCGGCTGTCGCCTTGGAGTTGGGGAGCACATACTTCTGCAAGATTTGATTGATTGATTCATATCCTCTCGGCTTCTTATCCGGAGCACTAGATGAAGAAGATAATTTAGCAGTAGCTACTCGCTTGGTTCCTGCACCGTACGTGAAAGGCACGGTTTTATCTTTCCCATATTCGATATCAAATCATAGCCACTGAGTATTCTTGTATTTCCTTTTATCCTTGGCACTCTTAGCTTTGGTCTTGATACCAGGTATGGCTCCTCTTTTCCATGTAGTCTTGCATGGCTCGCGTCTCAAAATGCGCACAGGACGTCTGGTCATTGATCCTAGCTTGGATGCTGATTTGCCCACACGGATTCCCACCTTCCCCATAGCGGTTTCGTCTACAATCCAGCGTCTCTTACCGACCTTGTTGAGCTTCTGTGCATTCATGTAGGTCGTAAGATAATTCTGATAAAATGCTTGCCATCGGTGCACGGTGCTCTTGCTTGTGCCATGGATACTCAGCAGTTCTTCCTCGATTCTCATCATCTTCTCGTTGCATGCCATGAAGATAAGGAAGTATAGAAAGGCCATCCAAGTCTGGCTTCGTAAGGCTGCCAAAGCTGGTACAGTAACAGTGTTCTGGAAGTGCTTGCATGAGTAATTCGTTTTTTACGCCCAGTAGAGACTGTTGGTAGGATCTCTGGAGCGTATTGTGCACGAAGACTTGCAAGTCGAACTTTTCCATACCTTCACCATACCATAAGCCATGAACACCATGAGAGCTCGCAGCATCATAGTGTCTGGAAGTCACATTCCTGTTCGATATCTAACTTGGAGTACATGATGTTGGCCATGAAGCTGGAACTGGTTTGAAAGTGCTCATCCCGAATACTCTTTCGAAGAGCATTGATAGCATCTATGGCATATACTACCGAAGTGCCAAGATAAAGGGGCAAAGCAGTCAAATGACTTCGTCATGGATATCAACATCATCATTTTCATCGTTATCATTATCATCATCATCATCCTTATCGTCATCATCATCATCATCCTTATCGTCATCATCATCAATATCAACATCATCATCAACATCATCATCAACATCAACATCATCATCAACATCATCATCAACATCATCATCAACATCAATATCATCATCCTTATCGTCATTATCATCATCATTAATATCATTCATCACCATCATCAATAACAACGTCATCCATGATCATTATGATTAGGAAGGAACTTATTGGGGGACACGAATAGAAATAGAACTATATCCATTCGATTATATGGTTTCAGAGGATTAGAATTCTATATTTGGAATTCTTATATAATATAAAAATAGAAATTTTCATATTTCTTCTTCATAATATTTTTGATTCAAAAAAAAAAGATATACATACTAAATTTTTTAAAGATATAATAGATCGAATTTTTCTGAGATATAAACTTGAATTCTTCTTGATAAAATATTCAATGAACCTTCTAATTTTGAATAGATAGGAACGGATTATTAATTATTTCTAGAATAAATTTCTATTATACGAATTCAATAAAAATAAGAATAATCTTGAATATATTTAATTATTCGAAATTTAATTAGACCTTATGAAGTAACGAGATTTCTATTCGATATTTTTTTATAGAAAGATATGCTAAGATTAATAAAATTTCATTAAAAATTAGAGATTTATTAATATTTAATTTTTTGATATTTCATTAATAAATCTCTTGAGAGCTCCATATAGACGAAACTCTTATATAATTGAAATTAAATCAAATCTTATATGAGAATATTTATACCAATATTTCAATTTTATTCTCTGAATATATTAAAAATATTTCATTTATATATCTATAATAAATATAGCAACGAGACCAAATTTATAGATATTGATCTTTATATATAGATTATTTTATCAATCCGTACCTATAGATAATTATCATGATCTTGAAAATTCAATCGAATCTCCTTGCCCGACTGCTAGAAATAACGAGGTCATTCCAATTCTCAAATATAGAGCTGCCAAATAGAATTATAATTAGAAATATATTTCAAATATATTTATTTATTTGAATTGATTCATTAATCAATATTTTATTTTATAATTTATTTTGAAATATTAGATATATAGAATTTCTTCTATGATATATATATTGAATATCAATTATAGATTCGAGAAATTTTATTTTTACTATCTTATTCGAATTTCGAATAATATTCTGAGATGCTATTTTTTTCGAAATAATTCATTCTAAATAATTTGATTTCTCGATTTAATATTTATTTTAATAAATTTTGAAATCTTATTCTTCTGACTATTTTTTATTAGTTATATATTTAATAATTCCTTATAAGAAAATAAATTGATCCCATCCTCCCATATGAAGAATTTCTAGAAATCAAATATTTTCATAATCTATGATAATCTATAAAACGTCATTATATAGATTCCAATTTCATCTAGAAAATATGGAGCTATTCCGCCTGCCTATAATTATTCACTACTTCTCAAATCCTATATAGCGATGAATCAAAATATCTAGATATATAGATATCCTAGATCAAGATCAATAAAATAATATTCGGAGATTCTTATTTCAAGAATTCAAATTATCAATTCAGACCAAGATGATCACGTCAATATAATCGATTCACCACATAATTTCTCCCTTAGATATAAAGATCGTATTATATTCCCCAAATCAAGGCATAAAACCGATATTGATAATACTTTGACTCCATCCAAATAAGAATATATTTTAATCTCTATCTAATCGTATCCCTGATCCCCCCTATATTTTCGTCCTTTGGCATGATTCTTTTTGAAAATATTTTAGGTGCTCTCATCCCGCGGAATCAAAAATTAGAAAATGATCTAATTAATAATTGCTTCTATTTCTGAAATGATAGAGAATATCTATAAATATGAACTTATCTGAGAAATTTTTATTTATTTCGAAAAATAAATATAAGATCTGAAAATACAATATTTTTCCAGATTATTCAGATCGGAAGATTCAAAATCAAATATTAAAAGAATATAATAATTTGAATATTTCTTTGATATAAATAATTTTAGATCTTTCG